GTGTGTGTGTGTGTGTGTGTGTGTGTGTGTGTGTGTGTGTGTGTGTATAGCTAAAGAAATGTTACCATTGTTAGGTTCATCCGTAGTGTCCTTGACATTGAGTGGCGCAAGAACGGTTTCCAGCATGTCACTGCATACTTGCATACTAGGCTCGACAATAAATTCTATGAATCCTATTTGAGATTCAGCTACCAACGTATTATTGCGATCGCATAGAGGAGAAAATGGCAATCCAAGCTTTCTCTCTTTATCACCTTGTCTGAAAAACTCTTCAAGAAGTTGCATTGTCCATCTGTATGAATTAAAAATTACAAATATTATTATTTTAACACATCGCTTTATTTCTGTTTTTATTAGAATATAAATTAATAAAGAAGAAATCTTTATTACAATTTATCAGTTTACTAGGAAGAAATCTTTTTTCCAATTTTTTTTTTATCTTTTTAGTTTTAAAAATATATATAAAAATTTTGTAAAAATTATTTCATCGTCGTTAATTTCTGACAGATCATATTTTATCAAAATTAAAAGAGAAAAAATATTAACATTCTCTCTGAGCAATAAAGCTTCACCTATTATGAAGATCCCATCTTTTGGCAGGATGCGAAATATCGCAACAATGGAGGACCAAGCTAACAGCTTTGCTCTTATCTACGCTTGGTTCTGTCAAACTTAGTAAATTTTTCATATTTTTTAGCTGTTGAAAATGAAAACTCATGTCGGTGGCAAGAACCATGTCAATCACGAGCGATCGAAATTCTCGAAATTCCTCTCTTGATAAGTTCTGTAGTATGTTACAATCATCTTCTCTAAGTATCCTAAAACATAAAATTTTATGAGATATTAATGTAATCTTACTACAATATAAATAAATGATAATATTATTTTGTTCTATAAAACTATTTAAATAAAGATTTTGATAAATTTAGATTTTGAAAAAAGAAAGAAAAACGAAAAGAAAAAATTAATTGTTGATCGATATTACAAAATATTTAAAGATATTTAAAATTTTATTTTAACATTTGTTTAAACTAAATTTTTTAAAATAAGATTACTTAAAATCCGGTTAAACTGCGAACTGTTCGAGACTGCAATAACTATCGCAAAATAGAATTTACATATACCGAAAGCTGGCCGAAATGTGATGATTTTCTAACACAGCACGGTCGTTATATAGGAGCGCTGTATCACTACCGGACATTACGTGGAAATTGTTTGTGGTCCCAGTATGCTCGTAATCATGAATAATCGCTGCCACAAGGGTAGCGAAAATCTCGAGATCGGTCAACCAATTCTGCAACGAATAATATCAACCTGAAGCTATCTCGCATACAATGCACATCAAACATAAAATCATCAAAGGCAAAATGGCAGACTCAAACTGAATAGAAGAAGACCTTCCTTTTTATCAAATTCATCAACAATTCGAACCGATAAAATTTTTTTTTTATTATTTGCGACTATTTATACTTATGATTTCTTTCCTTTTTTTCGATATAAAGAAAAATATCTAAAGAAGATTATATTAACTCATTTTTTCAAAAGTATATATTTATACATGCTAATAATCTAGATTATATATTTATTAGGTGATAAACTTAATTCTTGCCGCTCGATACTAGAAGGTGCTAGCTCCAATACTGACGAGTTTCGAGTCGAAACTTTCGATGGTGAAGTCGCAATTCGTTTTGTATATTTTAGATATTGTTAAAAGTAAACCTGTTCTTTTTGGCTGAATTTTTGCATCAGTTCATCTTCCTTTTTTCTATAGGAGGAAAGAAGAGGAAGAAAGATGAACTGTACAAAAGTTCAGCCAAAAAAAAACAGGCCTGTTGATTCAGTCCTCACAGTGTTGCCGTTTTTTGATGATTTTTCACTAATTTAATGATTTTTAAAATCTTTTGGTGATTTAGTAAATTATTTTCTTTATTGATGAATTTTTATATATAAATTATTTTCTTTATTGATGTCTTCTATTCTTCTTATTGATCTTGTTTTCAGTTCCTTATTGAATTTAAATATTGGACCATATTAACATAAAGTATTTACAATCAAGAAATTATCTTAAAGTTGCGTTTTCTGGCTAAACGCAGTCAATTTAGTTATATGATTTATATATAGGTTTCATTTTAAATTTCACAGACTAAAGTGTAATGAGTTGTTTTGTACAATAATTCTATAATTGATTTATTATGGTTATTTTTTTTAATATAGATGATAATAGTACATGGAAACTATTTTTCCGACGTGCTTCTTCACTACTTCGACTTCAAGAAAACCTCAGTTTATTATTCAAGAAACATCGCTTATTTTTCGAAGTATATGCTGATGAAACTCCTTCGGAAAGAACATGTAGAGTTCGGTTTTGGAACGCTTTTGAAACAGTGATTTTGTCGTGAGAAGTAAAGAATGTTCAGATAGTCGAAAAAATTTGAAGATGTCGAATTGTAAAAACTGCTCGAATCCAGTTCAAATGCTTTGTATTAATTCATTTTAGGTATTCATTCATCTTCCCTTCGAAATAAATCAATTTCGAAGACGGCAGGAATTAAATTTACTACTTAATATGTATCCTAATAATAAAAAATAAATGTTATAAATACATATATCCTAATAATAATGAGAACAAAATTCAACAAAACTCACGAAAATAAATTATTAATTTAATATTATATATTTTAATAATATAGTTTATTAATTATTAGCTCATTATGTAATTAAGAAACATCTTTATTGTTCTTTAATTGTTACCATAAGTAAATAAATACAAAATAATGTCATAAAAGTACTATGTACATATTCTGCTCCTTCTCTCTCCCTCTTCTTCTCCCTGTCTCTCAGAAAGGTACTCACCATCAAACCCGTTTGACACAAGATGTAATGCATCGTTTGCGCAACATCAGCAGCGTGGAGGTTGTTGTGATATGGGTTTCGATGCCTGCAATAACCCTCTTCAACTCTTCCGAGGAAGCACTCCAAAATTGCAGGAGGTACTTTAAACTTGTGAATCATACCATATCGATTGAGGAGATCATAACCTAGGTATTTTACTGGCGTCCCCAGAGCGGCCTCGTTCAAAGAAAATACATCGAACGACCAATCATCTAAAGTCTTGATAAAGAAAGCAATTTGAACACTTAAAATTTCAAGAATTCTCGATCTTAATAATAACCTGATCAATCCTTAATTAAACATTTTTTTTTCGTTGATTAATAGTCAATAGTAGACAAATAATTTCTGATTGAAAACGAAGATGTATAAATTAAAGTTTCCAAAGTATAAAAAACGCAAATTATAGCTGGACGTGTGTTCTTAATTTTTCTGATTTTAATTTTTATACTTATATCATAATATATTTATCGTTAAATCACATAAAGATACATATATTTTTTAGCTGTATGATAGATTACCTTAAGTACTTTCACAACTTCCGGCGGAAATTGCATGAGGGCGGTGTTCGTAACTCTCCTATAGATTCGATCGACGAATATGCCTGCCCTGATAGCATGCGCGACCGAGCGGAATTTCGGTTTCTCATCAGCTTTCCGTCTAGTGGTGGCGAGTTGCCTAGTGAAAGTCGATGCCAGCCATTCACGCACTTCCGGTGGTACTGCATCTGGCTGCACTTCTGATAGCTCGTCATCTTCATCCGCTAGTCGTCTATAGGAGAAAATTGTGGGAAGTGATGTTATAGATCAATGGCGAACTAACTTAGTTTATCGTTGATATATTTGACATGAACAAAACGCCTACCTTTGCTATATACGATCGAGAATCAACTCGTTTTGTTTTCAAAAATCATTGATCATTGTACTTGTTTAAAATCCGTATTTGAGTTCGCTTCACATCATTATGAATAAGGAAAGACTGATGTATGTTCTTTCATATTAGCTCATGTTATGACTTAATGTATTGGATTGGAGAAAAAAAAAGTTCTGCGGTATTTTGTTAACTCACAAAATTATATATACAATATTTTCATTAAAAATAATAAAAACCCTTTAAAAAAAGAGTTTTAAAGCTTGAAATCTCTACTTTTGAATGATTACTATATTTTTTTATTTATGAGTTTTGTTTAATTTTTATATATAAAAAACTACAAGCTGAAAAAAAGGGAAATTTTTCTTCTCACTTTGTGGATCTGTCACGTGCCAAAAAAATTCGCAAAAATTTTTGACTACCTAAATATATCATGAAAGTTTGGAGTTTTTTTTACAAAATCGTTTTTAAAAATGATTTTAAATTAAAATTTTCTACGATTTTTTGTTCTTGGGTTATTCGCGAATGCGAGTTAAGTGAAGAAAAAGAGTATTCTGATTTTGATTGCTCATAACTCTATTAAAAATCATCGTACTACAATTAAAAAATCAGATTTTTAAAACTGAATGTTGCTCTATCGAATAATACCATGCTAATTTTTTTAAGTATAAAATTTATAGAAATTTGAGTTAAAAATGTGATATTACTATCCTTAGTAACCATTGCGCAATGGAAAAAAAGACAGTAATATCACATTTTTGACTCAAATGTGCACATATTCTATTTTTTTTTAAATTGCCAATTACATCACTTGATAGAGCAACGTTTCAGCTTTAAAAATCTGTTTTATTAATTACAGTATGATGATTTTTAACGGAATTATGAGCAATCAAAATCACAATGTTCTTTCATTTTATCAGCGTATAACTTGGTGACTAAAACATTTTTTAAAAACAAGCATTTAGGAAAAATATTAATAAAAATATTTTACGTCAGATAGTCGACAATTTTGCAACAAATATATTCTATATATAATCTATATATAATTGAGTTAACAAAATTCTGCAGAATTTTTTCTCCAATCTAATAATTTGCACTATCTAGTTCTTTATTCTTTTTACTTTTTATAAATGTCGTGAATTGATAGATAGCCAAAAATGTAATTTATTTAAAAGACTATCGTGTTATGACTCGTGAATCAATTCTGTGGTAAAATAATTTTTTATTGTTCGCGAATCATAAAAGCAAATTATAATAAATTGCGATATAGATATATATATATATATTGCGATATCCGGAAAATCGATATTCTATTATATTCTACTATTATACATATTACACTCTATAAAAGTAATATATATTTACAACTACAAAAAAAATTTTAAGAGCAAATTTTCTAATACACATATTATTAAAGTGTTTTTTATTTCATATATAATATAAATCATCTTATATCAAATTTTCTAAACGTATCAAAATTCTATTACATTCTATTCTATTATATAATCCTAACTCGCTAAAATTAACGCCTTAATTAAATTAGTATTAAAGTATCAGCAAATATTTTAATTAAGTTATTAACATTTTATCATATATTATACAATTTTATCATTTTACTGAGGAAGTTAAGTGTGCGAGTTATAAGCGAATTGGACAGGAATATTGCATTAAAAAAAGCGAATTGTGATGGGAATGAAGATGTGTAAAAACTAAAATTTAAATAAACACTGTGATCTTTCAAGCATGTTTTATGTCTCCTTGATCTCAAACCTGATTCGATGTACAGATCGCAGCAGTAATTTGATAATAGATTCGAGCAAAACTCTACAACAATTAAGTCAATCATCTTGTCAAATAATTTTGAAAGTGTTCCTCAGTTCCAACATTAATGTGATAACTGCAATAACAGTGTAAACAATAATACTGCAATACGTGAAATGTATTGCGATTTTGTTTAAAGGTACATTTTCGATGTATATATTGATCTTAGGTATGAATTACAAAAATACAAAATACCTTGTAGAAATTATTGCCAGTAATCAGGTGTAGAAATTTGGATTAATTGATGCTACTAAATGAAAATAACAAGTAATTAAAAACAAGAAAAACAATTATATATGTGTAAAATGTATAATTATATACAGAGTTAATCAATTATAATAAATAATATAATTAAAATTTCAGACTAAATATTAAATAACTAATAGATTTCAGTTATATGCAAAAAAGCTTCATGTGTTTGCGCATTATAGGCTACTAAAAGTTGTGTTAGGTGTAAAATTTCAGAGCCAATGTAAACAATACACACACACACACACACACACACACACACACACACACACACACACACACACACA